ACGGGGCTGGAGCTGTCATGGGGACACGCTGGCTCCTGTGGCCACTGGGTGGCAGGAGGAGTGAGGACCCTTCAGTCAGGACCCTAAACCCAAAGGGTGAAGGTGTGGGGACCATGCTGGGCTCTGCCCTGCTTTCTGGCAGTGGGACTGTGGCCAAGTGACCTGATCGCTCTTGTGCCTCAGTTTTCCTAAATGGGAGAACGGTGCTACTTCGGGGAGGAGGGGAGGATTAAATGAGCTCATCTATATGTGACTTGCTTAGCACCAGCCAGGGACATGGTCAAGCCTCTGTTGAGTGTTCACTAGCATCCTCCAGGCAGCTGGGCGTAACCTGGAGCAGGCCCAGCCTCCATGCAAAGCAGGATGAAGGACTGACTCGAGAGGCCCAGGGAAGAAGAAAATAAAACCCTACCACTTATAAGTGACACCTACACAGCCTTATTGAAATATAACTCATATACCATACCGTTCGCTCATTTAAAATATGCAATTCCATGGTTTTTAGTGTATTCAGCAAATTATACAATCATCACCCTAATCAATTTTAGAACGTTTTCATCACCTCAGAAAGAAACCCTCCCCCTTAGCAGGCACTCCCCTCTCCTCAGCCCCTGCCAACCGCTCACCCATTTTGTTTTTTCTTTTATGGATTTGCCTGGTCTGGATATTTCAGATAAATGGAATCATACAATGTGTGACGCCCGGCAGGATGGTTTCAGGGTTTCTCCGTGTTGTTGCGTGTATCGGAACGTCACTCCGCTTCTGGCTGAATTGTGTTCCCTGTGTGGTTAGACCACACTTGGTCATTCATCGGTTGCTGACCACTTGGGTTGTTGCCACTTTTTTGGCTGTTGTGATAGTGCTGTGTGATCTGTGGACATTTGTGTACACGCTTTCCTGTGGACAATGTCTTCATTTGTCTTGGGCAGATGGAATTGCTGGGTCATATGGCAACTTTATGTTTCACTTTTTGAGGAACTTCCATACTGTTTTCTAAAGTAGCTGCACCACTTTGTATCCCCACCGGCAGTGTGGGAGGGTTCTAATTTCTGCACATCCTTGTCAACAGTTGTTAGTGTCTGTCTTTTTTATTATTTCCATCCTTGTGGGTGAGTAGTGGTACCCCATTGTGGTCTGGGGCACTTGGCATTTAGTTGTTGTTAATCCTTACCCAAGAATTTTTTTTCCCCATTCATTTTTAGAGAGCGTGGAAAGGAGGGAGGTGGGGGGAGAGAGGGAGAGAGAAACATTGATGTGAGAGAGACACATCGATTGGTTGCCTCCTGCACATGTCCCAACCAGGGCTGGGGATCAAACCTACAACCCAGATACATGCCCTTGACCAGGAATCAAACCCACAACCCTGCGGTGCCCAGCCAACGCTCCTGACCACTGAGCAACACCAGCCAGGGCTGGGGCACTTGGCATTTTAAGTTAGTATGTTAAGTGCCTATTGTGTGCAGGAGCCCTTACAGGATAGTCACATGGGTTTGCTAATGGCCTGCACAAGGGACTTGGCTGGGTTGGGATTCTAGCTCTGACATTTAATTACTGTGTGAGTTTGGGAAAGTTACTGAACCTCTCTGGTCCTCAGTTTCCGCATCTGTAAAGTGGGGATGATAAATAGTGATTACCCACTGGGCCAACACCTACCTCACCGGGTTGTAATGAAGATTAAAGAAGTGGGTGGGAGCCTGGTATGTAGAAAGTAAATATGAGCTCCTATTAGAATGGTGGTGTTGCTATATATGTTGGCTCATGTGATTTTTCCCATGAGTAGCTGTTGCCTAGTTTTGATCGTGTGGCCTCTAGAGCAGTGGTCGCCAACCTTTCGGACCTCACAGACCGCCAGTGGTCCACCGGTTGGCGACTGCTGCTCTAGAGCAAGACTTCCCTAGGAGAGAATCCTGGCTCCACACTCACAAGCTGTGTGACCCTGGGCAAGTGCCTTGACATCTCTGAACCTTGGTTTCCTCATCTGTAAAGGGGCATACAAACCTCCCCAGGGAATTAGGGTGTGGGTGCTGTTGGGGTGGTGCCTTCTAACCTGTCTGATGTCTGTAAGTGTCAAATTACCATAATGCCTGTGTGGTTACCCCAGTCCATAGATGGAGAAACTGAGGCATGTTAGGGTAAGATGGTCCAAACAATAAACAGCCCAACAGGACTCGGAGCCCACGCCTCTGTGGCCCAAAGCTCCGGCTGAACCCTCCTTTGTTCTCCAGTAGGAGCCCAGGTCCCTGGGGCCGGCTGTCCCATCCCCCTCTCTGCCCCATGTCCCTTTCCGGTTGGGCCTTAACTAGAATAATGGGCAGCCAGGGTGGGTCCAGAGTGCTTTCCTCACACCTGCCCCAACCAGTGAAGGGGCTGGATTGGGAACTGGCCCCACACCCTGAGGTGCAGCTGGGCTGCGCCCGAGAGAGATGAAGGCCCCACCTAACCCACACTGCAGGTTCCTGATGGCGGCCAACACCGTCATGGGTTAAATATTTGGGTTGAAACTCCCCACGGTCTCACAGGCCAGGCTAAGGACCAGTGGCTAAGGTGGGGCTGAGGGACCAGGAAGTGCTCACATTCCCCAGGTGGTCTGCCCGTCAGGGGGTGGGAGCAATGGGGGTTGGCCCATGACCCAGCAGCCCCGCCCTTACCCCTACTTACCCAGATCTCCATCCACAGTCCCCTCTACTGAGCCTTCCCGGCCACTCCACTGAATACCAGCTTTCTCTCTTGCAGGACTTCTCAGAGCCTTTACTGAGCCATAAACTTATGGAGGGGTTGGTTTTTCCTAACTGCCTTGACTGGCAAAGACTTCATTCTGAGAGTGACTTAGAAGCCTGGGATTCCTGGGACCCCACTTTGGGAAAGGCTGCCTCCTTGGTTGACTTTGCAGAGGTGTGGCCTGGGTCTTGTCATTCTCCCTGTCCCCCCTCCCACCCCACCCCACCCCCGTCCCCCAGAGCAGGCCCTCAGGCAAGGTTTGGGACGTGGATAGATAGACTTCTGTTTGCTGCACCCACATCTGCCTCCCGACTTCTCCCCATACCAGCAGTTCCTGCAGTGTTGGACCTCAAACTCAAGAGGGTATTAGGGTCCCCTGGGGAACCTGTAGAAACAACAGCAACAATAATACAGCTTCCTGGGCCCAGCTCTGGAGATCCGGGTTCAGAAAGTCTGGGTTGTGCCTGAGAATCTGAGGTTTTCATGCCACTGCAGATGGGTCCCAGGCCTTGATGTGAGGAATTCCACTCTGAAAGGGGGCAGCCCCCTTGGCTTGAGGGTCAAGAGCTCTGCCCTGGCCCAACCAAAGAGACACTCCCAGGACCTGTCTCTTTCATGGCCTCTCCTCATGGGAGCCTTCTGCCCATGAACCCACGTCTTCCTCGTCCTTTAGAACCCAGCTACCACCACCTCCTCCAGGAAGCCCTCCCTGATCACCCCTCCCCACCCAGCCTGTTAGGAGGCTCCTCTGGGCATCCCCAGCTGCCATGCCTGCCTCATTCTCGTGACTCTTTCTGTAAATGCTGATTTTCTTCCTGTCTCAGGGGTGAATTCTCAGAGGGCGAGGCTGTGTCTGCGTGTGGTGCTGGGCCTGGCACACAGTAGGTGCTAATGAGTGCAGGTGGAATGAAACTTCTGGCTGCTCGGCTGCTCAGGCCCCACCGTGGCGTTGGTACAGAAGGGTTTTTTATGGAGATTGGGGTACGTGGAGTCAGTATAAAAGGGTTTTTTATGGAGATTGGGGTACGTGGAGTCAGTATAAAAGGGGAGATTGGGAGACTGAGCACTAATCTTGACCATCTGGCTGGCTGGGCGACATTGGCCCAGTTGCTTTTCCTTTCTAGTCTGTTTCTTCCTTTGTTTAAAGAAAACAACAGCAAAGGTGGCGCTGAACAACGATCAGTAAAGCTCCTTAACAACAACAATCACAAACCTTTGCGGGACTTGCTGGAGGTCCAGCTCTGCCTGTATAACTCACTCCCACTCCTGACACCCCACCGTGAAAGGTGCCGTTATTCCATCTGACGCGAAGCAGAGGCACAGAGGGTACAGCAGCTTGGTCAAGCCACACAGCCAGAGCCCACGTTTAATTCCAGGGCTGAGGTCTTCCCTACCACAGTAGTTTTTGCCAGAGGGGCATGTGATGAGCTTTCGGGGTTCCTGTACGGGAGAGAGCACCGAAACGCGGCTTAGGAAAGCCGTTCTGATTTCTGAACAGCTCTGAGAACTCCCAAGAGAAAGTCTCTGGCTTGGCCGTGATACATGCCAACCTCTGCTGTGAAGCAAGACGGGGCAGGGCTGGGTCTTGAGCAGGCCACCAAGCATCCAGCCAGAACCTCATGCTGCCATTTTATCTCCATGGAATTCTTTTTGGCGGATACTTCCATTATGGCAAGGGCTTCTGGTTTTCTGTGTACAGTGGGGAGCTCAAGTTCCCCTTTTAAGTACATTTATTTAAATATAAAGACTATGTAGATTAAAAGAAAAGTACCAGGTATTTACTAGTAACAATAAGGGTGCTTGCACAAAAACTAGCACCTGAATGATTACAGTAGCATGACTTATAATGCCCAAATGTCCATCGACAGATGAATGGATAAACATGTGGGCTATCCATGCAGCGGAATATTATTCAGCCATAAAAAGGATACGGGGTTTCTTTTCTGGGTGATGAAAATGTTCTGGAATTAGATAGCGATGATGTTGTGTAACCTTGTGAATATGTGAGAAAGCACTGAGTTATACTTTAAAAGGGTGAACTTTATAGTATGTGAATTACGTCTCAATAAAAAATATGGAAAAATGAATAAGAGTGTTCTGCCAACATGGCAAATAGAAGCGGCCGAGTGAACGGCCAGCGTGGGGGCTGATTTCGCCGCCAGGTGCTGTCTTGTTTCCGTGGCTTGAGTGACTTCACCCTGGGGACGGCCCGGGCGGCAGGGCCCTGTGGGGACGTGGCCCCTGCCCCTTTCCCCTGCTCACCTCTCCTCTCCTGCCCGCAGCATCTCCAACAAGGAGCTGTCAGAGCTGATCGATCAGCTGCAGAAGAATGCCGACCAGGTGGAGAAGAACATCGTGGACACGGAGGCCAAGATGCAGAGCGTGAGTGCCCGCACCTCCTCCCCGGTACCCCCCTCAGCCTGTGCCCCCCTCAGCCTCAGCCCCACTCCTGACCAGGGTCTTGTCTTACGCAGAGGTTCCCACCTAGGGTCATTCTGCCCCCTGGGGGACATGTGGCCACATTTGGAGACATTTTAAGCTGTCACAACCTAGGGGGTGCAGTGGATGGGTATCTAGTCGGATGCTATTAAACACCCTTTAGGGCACAGGACCCCCCCACCCCCCAAGGACTCAGCATTAGATGTCAGCAGTACCGAACTGGAAAAACCGAGGAGGAACCTTGTTATGGCTGTTAACACCAGCCCCCTACCCCCACCCCGGGAACTAAGTTCCTGCCGCTTATGGGCCTCTGGAAGAGAACCACAGGTTCAGGAGGATCCCACCCTCTTTGCCACTTACTGTGTGACCTTGGGCAAGTCACCTTACCTCTCTGTGCCTGTGATTCCCTCTGAAGGGGTAAGAGTGATGGTCCCTATTGCCCAAGCTGCTGTAAAGAGTCGATGAGATTATTGAGTCAATGAGATTATTACGCAGGTGCTCATACTAGTATGTGAATTCCATCTCAACAAAAAATATGGAAAAACGAATAAGAGTGTCCTGTCAACATAGATCTATTAACTAGCAGGGCTCAATATTATCATCAATATCATCACTCTTACTTCTCACCCAACCACTGCCATTACTCAGACTCATATGATCCTCCTCCTTTTTGAGAGAAGAGAGAGAAAGTAGCTGGGGAAATCACTTTCCCTCTCTGTGCCTCAGTTTCCTTCTCCTCTCTGCCCATGGGGATAACTACAGTGCTGAGCTGTAGTTTCTCCTAAGGATGCTGTACCACGCAGGACACTGGAGCTGCCCTCAGACTATGAGCTGCTAAGATGAAAACTCCACTGGCCCACTGCTGTTGAGTTTATACCCATTTTGTAGCTGGAGAAACTGAGGTTCAGAGAAGGCCAGGGTAATAGTCAGTGACAGAGCTGGCCCCAGAATCATCCCAGAGGTGGGGGAGTCAGATGTAGCAAATAGATTACAGGACACCAGTTAAATTTGCATTTCACAACACAAATATCAATGTTTTCTATTATAAGTATGTCCCTTGTGCTATTTGGGAAGTACTTACAGTACGAAATTATCCATTGTTTATCTGAAATTATAATGTAACTGGACAATCTGTATTTCATCTGCCTTCCCACCCAGGGGGTGACTAAGAGGAGTGGGGGGCTGCAGGGGGACAGGTCACGGGGGGGTAGGTCTGGCTGGTCCCAGTGCGTCCCCAGGGCCAGCCGAGGGCCAGTCCCAGGCAGCCCAGAGACCTGAGGGACTAGGTGGGCTGGGGGTGGCACAGCTGTCAGTGAGAAATGGGGACAGGAAAGGCAAGTGGGGACTCTGTTCCCTGCCAGGTGCCCTTCCCTCCACTCCTTCCTTGCCCTCACCTGCCAGGGCCACCTCCCGCTTCCTTGCCTCAGTGCCCACCCCACCAGCCCCTTTTCCTTCCGCCGCACGCTCCTACCCGGCTCCCCCTGTGACTCTTCACTCTGTCACACTCTGTTCTTTCTTAAGTGAAAACAGCTTTTGGGGTGTGGCCTTTCTTTCTCCTAATAAAAGTAATGTGTTCATCATGGCCATTTCAGGACTGGTAAACACGTATACGGAAGCAAATTAAAATCATGCGTAATTTCACCCCCAGAGAGATCTATCAGCTATTAACATTTTAATGTATCTGACCTTTCCTTGCGTGTTGTGTGTGTATATGAATAGGGTCTCTGTTTATTTGCTTAGAGTAATGACTCAAAACTAACAAGGATGTATTTGGGAGATAATTTTGAACTTTTTTTTATAATATATTTTTATTGATTTCAGAGAGGAAGGTAGGGGGAAGAGAGAGATAGAAACATCAATGATGAGAGAGAATCATCGACCGCCTGCCTCCTGCACGCCCCACACTGGGGATTGAGCCCGAAACCTAGGCATGTGCCCTGACCGAGAATCGAACCGTGACCTCCTGGTTCATAGATCAGTGCTTAACCACTGAGATACGCTGGCCAGGCTAAACTGTTTTTTAACTTTGAATGAGCAAACTCAGAAAAAAGAGACCACACTTTGAAGACTGCATGAACACTAATCTTCTTTTTCTTTCTTTTCTCTTCCTGTTTTTTTTTTTCAGAAGAAAACATCATTATTGATTTAATTACCCCAAAGTTCTGTAGAATTTTCCTAATTTTAAAAAAGATTTTTTTAAAATTGCTTTTTAGAGAGAGAGGAGGGGAGAGGGAGAGAGAGAGAGAAACATCAATTGGCTGCCTCCTGCACGTCCCCTAACAGGATCGAGCCCACAGTCTGGACATGCGCCCTGACCGGGAATCGAACCGAGGACCTTTCAGTAGATGGGATGACACCCAACCAACTGAGCCACACTGGCCAGGGCGAATTTCCCTATTTTTTAAAATTGAAGTGAGATTAGCATTACATAAAATAATCACTTAAGGTGAATAACTCAGTGGCGTTTTGTACATTTGCAGTGTTGTGCAGCTACCACCTCTGTCTAGTTCCAAGGCATTTTGTCACCCAAAGGGAAACCCCACATGCACTAGCAGTCACTCCTCCTCCCACCCCCGGCAGTCACTCATCTGCTGTACTCATTGTGGATATTTCATCTAAACAGAATCATACAATACGTGAACTTTTGTGTTTGCCGAAATTTTAAACGTGCAAAGTTGGAAGATGGCATAGGGTACAGCCAGATCCCTGCCGTCCAGATCCCCCCAGTGACGCCTGCTGGCTACTGTCCATCACTCTACGTGTGATGCATTAGATATGTCGCTCCCTGTGATATTTTTAGTTTTAAAAACCCTTCTTATTGAGGTGTAACTTACATAAGGAATGTAGAAAGCATCCAAATGTAAAGAGTTCAGCCGCACGCGTGTTTCTATCAGTAGGCGCCCGCGTCACCGCCGCTAAGTCCAGATAGAGAACATTTCCCAGAAGCTCCCCGTGACCGTCCCAATCCATCTCCCCCGAGGGAACCCCCGTGCCGACTCTCTCCGACTCTCTCCGTGGTTGGGTCTGCCTGACTTGGGACTCGAACACCTCACCTCCAGGGCATTGAGCTAGATGTTCCTTTCCCGGCTTGGCTAGCATGCTTTGAATTAGGTAATGGCTAATTTACTTCCTCCTTTTGCAGAATAAGTCTTTGACACTCTACCTGCCCAAGTGACTGGTGATGAGGGAGCAGATAAAATTCCACCCAAGCCAAGAACCATGATGTTTTGTTGTAGTTTTTTTTTTTTAATATATTTTATTGATTTTTTACAGTGAGGAAGGGAGAGGGATAGAGAGTTAGAAACATCAATGAGAGAGGAACATCGATCAGCTGCCTCCTGCACAGCCCCCACTGGGGATATGCCCGCAACCAAGGCACATGCCCTTGACTGGAATCGAACCCGGGACCCTTTGGTCCACAGGCCGACGCTCTATCCACTGAGCCAAACCGGTCAGGGCTGTTGTAGTTTTTTCACTGGCCAGACTCACCCCTGGTAGAGAGGTGGCTCAGCCCCATTGGCCTTCTGACACCTCCAAGCCCTGCCTGCCCTGGCCCGCCGGGGGTGGCTGGGAGAGGAAGTGATGTCTTCACTCTGTACCTCCACTCACTCCTTGTTTTCTTTGGTCATTTCTTCCTTCCTTTCTTGGCCTTTCTTGATAGCTTTATCGAGGCTTATTGTAGACACCAGAAAAGCTCCCACTCGGTGTACGATGCAACGACTGAGCAACTTCACTGAGGGGCACGGCCGTTCCCATCAGTTGGTCCCTGACCGTTCTCGTCCCCCAGTTAGGTCTCCTGTGCCCGTTTGTTTACCACCGATTCCCATTTCCGTGCAGCCCCTGCAGCCGCTCACCGTGTTTCTGTCGCCACGGGTTTCACGTACACGGACTCCTACGTGACGTGGCCTTTCGTGTCTGGCTTTTCTCACTCCCTTCGTTTCTGAGGCCCTTCCACGTGCCATAGTGGTTCCCTCTGTCCACTGCTGTGGGCACCTCAGTGCCCCTTCTGAAGCAGGTGTTTCTTATTCCCATGGCAGAGGGAGACACCGAGACCCAGGCCGGGGAGGGCACTGGCCCCTACAGGACCCCCTGTGACACCTGGTCTGTCCTCAGCCCAGTCACTGACTTACCACCACGTCCCCTGTCGGCCTGGTGTCCCCAGGGCCTGGCACAGTGCCCGGCTAGTCTTCACGAGTGTTAAGGGCTGTGTTTAGAAACCTGCCACCCTGACCGTCTGTTCATTGTTCTTCCCTAAACAAGCAAGACCCCGGGCTCAGTGACTTATTGCTTGTTCCCCCGAGATGTCCACCCACTGCGCTCATTCTCGCCACGTCCCAGCTCGGGCCACCTCAGCGCTCACCTGGGCTGTCGCAGTGGCTGCCTGCCCTCTCAGCCTGTACCTCCTCCCTGCAGAGCCAGGAGGCATGGCTTTTAAAGATACGTGGGGCCATGTCACTTCCCTCCACAGAGCCACTCCGTGCTCTGGCCCCCGCCCCACCGCCCACAGGTCCTTTGTGCTCTGCCCTGCCCTCCTCTCAGCTTCAGCCATGGTGGCTTCAATCACAGCTTGCCTTTTCCTGCCTCAGGGCCTTTGCACAGGCGGTTCCCTCTGCCTTGACCTTCTTCCCTTCCGGCCTTCATTCTTACCTCTGTCCCCCCCTCAGAGGGGCCCCACTGACCACCGGAGCTCACGCAGGTCCCCCTCACTCCATCCACCTCTGGTGCGCTTCCTGGGTAAACACTGACCTGCACGAACTTGCAGCCACCTTGGTGAGGTTTACCTGTTGACATGCCTTCCTGGTGGCCTCCCCACTGGGCTGGGCTGCCTCCCAGAGCCCCACACAAGCAGGCATTTGGGCTCTGTTTGCTGAGGGGCTGGAGGAGAGGACAGGCCTGGCTGGGGAGCCCTCCCATCCCTGCAGACCCACGGAGCCCCTGTCTGATGTCCCCCTCTCTTGTGCCTCTCACAGGACCTGGCCCGGCTGCAGGAGGGCCGGCAGCCCGAGCACCGGGACGTGGCCCTGCAGAAGGTGTCGGACTCGGAGAAGCTGCTGTACATGCTGGAGGCGGATGCAGCCATCGCCAAGCACATGAAGCACCCCCAGGGGGACATGATCGCCGAGGAGTAGGTCCCTCTGCTTCAGCTCTGAGGGAGCCGCCTGGCCGGGCAGGAGGGCCGCAGCCCACCCGCACCCGGGAGCCGCGTCAGGGCCTCTCGAGGGCTAGCTAGACGCCAGGCACATGCCACACACTCTGTTATTCTCATGACAACCCACTTGCCGTCGGGGAGACGGCTCGGAGCACTGGTGTTCCCTGCTCTGCTCATAGTGTGACCCCAGCTTCCTGACCATGCAGTCTGACCTCCCGGCTTTTGAGCACGCTGTCCCACCCGGACGCCCACCCGGCCGCCCACCCGGCCCCATGCTCATGGCTCTTGCCTTAGCTCCATGTGGCTAAATCGGCACCTACGACAGCAGGCGCCAGGGTCTCCCAGTGCCTCGCAACCCCCTGTGCTCGTCCCTGTCATGACCCACGCCCACTGTGGCCCTTGCTAGATGGTGGGCTCCAGCCTGTTTCTTCCAGAACCTTCTATGGCCCGGGGCACACAGTGGGCCCTGGGGAAGTGTTAATGGAAGAAGGAAGGAAGAAGGAAAGTAGATAGGAGGAGAGCGCGAGTTTTATCTGGAGCCCAAGGCCCTGTTACCCTGCCCTCCCAGGATGCTGGGCACAAAGTTGGGGGGCGGGGGATTAAGGCAGTGCCCTGCCCACTAGCCCGCTAACCAGGGCGGCCGCTCTCCCACTCAGCATCCGTCAGCTGAAGGAGCGTGTGACCAACCTCCGTGGGAAACACAAGCAGATCTACAACCTGGTGGTGAAGGAGGTGGACCCACAGGTCAACTGGGCGGCGCTGGTGGAAGAGAAGCTGGTACGGCCCTGGCTGCAGCTGGGGAGGGGCCGTGAGTCGGGGGAGAACCCCACCATTTAATGTCACCACAGTCACGCGGAGGTAGTCGTGTTGCTGATGTTTTCTGATGTTTGTGTCAATGAGGAGAGTGAGGCTCAGAGAGGTGCAGTGCCTGACCCAGAGTCACACAGCAGAGGTGATGAAGATTAAGATCCTCCTGGGATCACCCTCCAGTCCTGGCTCGGTGGGGTCCTGGCAGGCTGGCAGATGTCTGGCCAGCACTGCTCTTCCCATGCCCTGGCCGCCGCATCTCCACAGTGGAGGGGCGCGCCCACGGGAGCCCAGAACCCTCGTTTAGTGGTGTGACGCTGGGCTCAGCCGTCTGTGAAAACGGGCAGGGTAACCGTGCGAGATTAAATGAGATGACGTGCAGATAAAGGTGACAGCCTCTCCCTGCGTCCCTCACGGGGCCACTTGGCTCTCTCCCTGGCTGGTCCCGTGAGGAGGAGTCCCGGCCCCACCCCTGCGTGCACTGTCTCCATCCTCCCCTCCCAGGACAAGCTGAGCAGCCAGAACTTCGGAACAGACCTGCCGCTGGTGGACTACCAGGTGGAGCAGCACAACATCTTCCACAACGAGGTCAAGGCCATCGGGCCCCATCTGGCCAAGGACGGGGGCAAGGTGGGCGCCCGTGGTCGGCGGGACCCGGGAAAGGAGGGCTCACACCTGCACCCCGCCCTAACCCCTGTCCTCGGCTCTGTCCTCAGGAGCAGAACAGCGAACTCCAGGCCAAGTACCAGAAACTGCTGGTGAGAACTGGGGCGGAGGGACTGGGGCAGGAAGCGTGTGCAATTCAAACAGAAAGGAGGGAGGGGAAGCGGGAAGAGATGGTACCCAGGGACCCTGCCTGAGAGGTGCCCCAGCTTGCCCTGAGCTCATGGAACACCCCAGTAGATCCCATTTACTTATTGGGGTACAGCCTGTCCTACCGTTTGCTTCTTGTTTCTTTATTAAGCACCTTCTGTGTGCCAAGTTGGATGCCACATACTTTACAAGCAAAAGTTTCCTGTTTTCAAAACCTTTAAGGAATGAGTTCTTTTAGAAATGCACAAGTGGTGCATGAACGCTTTCTTGTTGCGGACGTTTCAAACGCCCCAGCTGTGGGAACGCGTGGAGGTAGAGCACAGCCGTGGGCAGGCTCTGGGGCCAGACTGCCTCCACCCCTGGTGGGAGGGGAGACCTTGAACGCGCTCCTGAGCCTGGGGGCCTCAGTTTCCTCATCTGTAAAGTGGAGTTACTGCGAGTCCCTGTCTCATTGGATTGCTTTGCAGATGGCATTAGTTAATGTTGGAGAAGATCTTAGCACAGTTTGGGCTCCTGGTGGCCCCATGTATGTGTTAGCTGCTGTTCTTATTTGCAGAGCAAAATGTAGCCGTCCCTCCTCCTTCCCCATCCTCCCTGCCTGCCCGGCCCTTCTCAGATGTTAAGCCCTAGCAATTTCTACGGTTCTAGCCATCTAAACAATGACCTGACAGAGATAAAGCGGAAGCTGCAGCTGCTAATTCTTACTGAGCACCAACTCTATGCCGACTTTGGGCCCTGCTTGGCTCCCCTCTCTCAGTGCTGTCATCCCCATTGTGCAGATGAGTCCCTGGGGCTCCACACAATGTCAGTGCCATGAGGGTTCTGTCTGCTTTGCTCACTGCTGTATCCCAGGGCCTGGAGCAATGCCCAGCACTTACTAGGTGCTCAGTAAATATTTCCCGAAAGAATGAATGCGCTTCAGAGGGTCAGTAACGTACCCACGGGGGTTCGGCCGGGCCAGAGCCGCGGCCACTGCAGGTGTGGAGGGAAGTCTCAGCCCTGTCCTCACCCTGCAGGCGGCGTCGCAGGCGCGGCAGCAGCACCTGAGCTCCCTGCAGGACTACATGCAGCGCTGCACCAACGAGCTGTACTGGCTGGACCAGCAGGCCAAGGGCCGCATGCAGTACGACTGGAGTGACCGCAACCTCGACTACCCCAGCCGCAGGCGTCAGTACGAGGTGGGTGCTGGGGCCTGGGGGTGGGGGGCAGGGGCCAAAAGGGACCACGAGGCTGCCAGGCTGCGCACTGAGCCCCCTGCTGCCCCCCCCCCCCCAATGCAGAATTTCATCAACCGGAACCTGGAGGCCAAAGAGGAGAGAATCAATAAGCTGCACAGTGAGGGAGACCAACTGCTAGCTGCTGAGCATCCTGGGAAGAACTCCATTGAGGTGTGTGCGCTCCGGGAGGGGATGCCTCCTCTGGGGTGGCCTCAGGGCAACCTCTGCTGTGGGCCTCCTGGACTGGGGCAGCCCCCAAGATGGGGGGGGGTTTTTTTTCCCTTTTCCATTATTTTATTCTGTCCTCTCATCTTGCTCTGACCCTGCCTCCTCTCATTATCTTGACCCTTTGTCACATCCTGCTCTCACCGCCCCCCCCCCCCGCCCGACTTCTGAAGCCCATATGGCACCTGTGTCAGTGTCCTGGGGCTGCCCTAACAATGACCACAAACTGGGTGGCTTTAAACTACAGGATGTTTTCTCTCGTAATTCTGGGACAGAAGGGTAACATCAAGGTGTTGGCAGGCTTGTTCCCTCTGGGGGAGGGTTCTTCCTTGCCCCGCTCCCTGCTTCCGGCTGCGGCAATCCTTCCCTGGCTTGGGCCTGCATCACTTCCATCTACACTACTGTGCACAGGGCCTCTCCCTTGTATTTCCTCTTCTTACAGCAACACCAGTCATTAATTTAGGGCCCATCCTAAATCCAGGTGATTTCATCCTGAGATTCTTTAACCAATTACATCTGCAAAGACCCCGATCCCAAATGAAGTCACGTTCTAAGTTTGGGATGGGGAGATAACATTCAGTTTCATGACATTTTTTAAAAGCACCACTTTGGGCAGACGCAACCCCTCCTGTGCCTTATGCACTGTGCAGCCCAGGCACCTGTGCAGGGCAGCCCTGCTCGGCTCCGTGACATGTCCCCTCTCTCTCCTCTTCCCACCCCTGGGGAGCAGCTGGCTGCCCCTGTGGGAGCCGCACCCATGCAGATGCCGGATGCCCTCTCCCCCGCCCTCTCTGGTCTGGAATCCCACAGGCCTCTTCCAGTGCCCCAGGCACCCGCCCAGCAGTGACACCCCCCCTTCTCTGGCAGGCTCACATGGAGGCAGTGCATGCAGATTGGAAGGAGTATCTGAACCTGCTCATCTGTGAGGAGAGCCACCTGAAGTACATGGAAGACTACCACCAGGTACCCCGGCCTGGGCCCACTGGTGGGAGCACTCAGGGCCTCCGTGGCCCACCTTTGGCCTCCATGTGCTTCCTCGGGAGCCTTGCAGGGCTGTCTTCCTGGGCCTCCGCTGCCCCCGCTGGACACGGGTGTGCCTCCAGCTTGCCCGGCCCTGGCCAGTCTTCCCTGGGGGCCAAGGCTGGGGGGTGAATTCACCAGGTCAGTGTGAGGCCAGGAATGAATGTGTGGGTTTTCATTTTGGTAAAATATATATAATATGAAATTTGCTATTTTAGCCATTTTTAAGCATACAATTCAATGTGGTACAACCATCACCACTGTCTTTCCAAACTTTTCGTCACCCCAAATGGGAGCTCTGAGCCTGCTAACAGTCACTCCCCATTCCTCCCTCCCCCAGCCGAGGGTAACCTCTGATCTATTTTTCTTCGGGCTGCCTATTCTAGATATTGCATATAAGTGGAATCACATGCTACATGGCCTTTGTGGCTTCTTTCACGAGTATGTTTTCAAGGGTCATCCATGTTATGGCATGAATCAGAATGCCATTCCTTTTTACGGCCATGTAATATTCCCTTGCGTGGACAGACCACGTTGTGTTTACCCATTCATCTGTTGATGGAGACCGGTTGTTTCCTAGGAATGTGTTTTTTAGGAAGAGCGGCAGGTGACTAATGATTGTGCGGTCTGGGGACGCTTGAACTCAGATGACACTTCTGTAACTCCTGGTTCGGTGTCTGAGCCCTGCTGGGCTGTGAGATTCACAGGATCCCAAAGTGCCTTTCGTGGCTGCAGCCCAGGGGACAGCTGACAATGAGTGATTCCAGAGTTGATGAACTAAAGAATGGGCAAGAGAATTTTCTAGAACAAAGTGGGTCGGCTTGTCTTCCGTGTATCAAAAATGAAAGCATAGCATTATCAGGGTGTCCCTGGCACAAAGAGGAATGACATTTAAGAGCTCCGAAGGTCATCGGTGTGCACTTGGAAGTTAACGGGTCGCAGAGGTGGTCACGTGGACTGGCGGGCAGGGACCTGGCTTCTTCCCATGAGGCCCTCCCGGGAGCCAGGCCTGGGCGGGCTGGGTGTCCACGAGCAGCAGAGCCTGTGGACTCAGGCTGAGTGGGAAGCCCAGCCCCGACTGGGATTGGACTTGCAGCCACAGCCAGGATTAGCCAGGTGTCCTAGTTGCTTCACGTTCGTAATTGGGCCACCTGGTCTTCTAGTTCCACAAAGACGTGAAGGACGCTCAGGAGCTGCTACGCAAGGTGGATTCAGACCTGAACCAAAAATACAGCCCTGACTTCAAGGACCGATACCAGATTGAGTTGCTGCTGCGGGAGCTGGATGTGAGTGATGGTCCCATGAGTGACTCCGGGTGACCCCTCCCTGCCCTCAGCCTGGAGCCGGCCCCCCACAGCTCTCCCCTGCTGCCTGACCCCCACCCCCGGGGGGAGGCTGCACGATCTCACTGTGGCATTCCCCATGCTCAGGACCAGGAGAAGGCTCTGGACAAGTATGAGCACGTGGTGCAGGGCCTGCAGAAGCGAGGGCAGCAGGTGGTGCCCCTCAAGTACCGCCGGGAGACGCCCCTCAAGCCCATCCCCGTGGAGGCGCTCTGTGACTTTGAGGGTGACCAGGTGAGCTGTTGCCCAGGTGCCCCAGGCAGGCCAGGCCCAAATATGCCTCTTTTCATGTCACTGGAAGGTCTTAGGGTGACATCGCTAAATGAGGGCCTCAAATGTTTTCAGGACCCCTGTCATTGGGGTCATTCTCTGCCAGGCCTGTCCCCTCCCTCCTTCGCCCCCAATAGCTAGCTGCCTTGGTCTTGTGTGCTATCAGCTTAGCAACCCCAGTCATTCCAGCAGGAGTGCCAGGGAGGGTTCTCACTGGCCCAATTTGACTCGTGTCAGCCTCAACCAGTCAGTGTGGTGTGCGTCAGGGGATAATGCCATTCTCTCATTGGCAGGCCCGAGTCACATGTCCACCCTGAGTAGTAAAGGGCTGGGAATGGAGGAGAGGCCACATGGACTGGGAATGGGGGGAGTTCTAGTCCTTCCCAACTAGGGCACGATGTCTTGGGAAGGATCTGAGAGATGGGCTGACTTCCCCAGGTGCCAGAGTTGGTGGGCAGGACCAAGGTGGCCTCTGGGCTCCCAGGCTACCAGCCAAGGCGGGTCTCTCTGTGCCTTCTCACTGTTTGGCCTGCCCATGCCAGGGCCTGATCTCAAGGGGCTACAGCTACACCCTGCAGAGGAACAACGGAGAGAGCTGGGACCTCACTGACAGCGCGGGAAACGCACTGACCGCCCCAGCCGTCTGCTTCATGATCCCCCCCACCGACCCCGAGGCCCTGGCTCTGGCCGACAGGTACAGGCTAAGGAGGTAGCCAGCATGGACTGGCCCCACCCCTTGGGTCCCTTCATTGCCCTGGTAACACCCCCACACCTGTACCCACTTGGAGGCTCAGTGGGACAGGGGCAGATCCTGTTGGCCCGACTGACTTGCTGTGTGTGAATGTCCAGCTGTGGGCACAGTGCAGCGAGCACTTTCTCTGGAAGTGCCTCTGGGCCTTTGCACATACTGTTCCCTTTACCTGGACACCTACTCATTGCCTGGTCAGCTCAAGCCTCTCGGCTTGACTCGGCTCCAGGGTCACCTCTTCTGTGAAGCCTTCCCTGACTGCCCCCTTGCCTAACACCTTGCTCCACCTCCTCCCTCCCGCGCACGCCCTGCTCTTGATCAGGGTGCTTTGTGTAAGTGTCAGTCTCCTGGCAGGGGCTCCTTGAGGTCTACTGTCTCCAGGGCCTTGTTCAGGACCTGGGGCAAAGTGAAAACCCAAGAACTTTGTTGAGTGAGTGACTCTGTGAATGCTCCATTTACTCATTCAGCAAGTATTTACTGAGCACCTGTGTGCTGCTCCCTCAGGGGTAACATCTTAGGGAAGGCAAAGGAACAAACAAGATGATTTTAGGAAGTAAGACTTGCTATGACGAAGAGAGAAAGGGGCGAAGGAAGGAAGGGGTCCATCTGAACCCATAAGCAAAGATAGGCCAGCGTTTCAGCAAACCTTTGTATGTGTTGTGATTTAACTTTTCAAAGCATTTTGATGGCTGCCTGACTCCTCTGGGCTGTTGGCCCAGCCGAAGTCCAGGGTCTTGCTCCTGAGGGTGGAGGGGCAGTTGGCTGCCCTGGATCCAATCCATTTTTGCTCTCACAGCCTGGGCAGCCAGTACCGGAGCGTGCGGCAGAAGGCAGTCGGGACCAGGAATGCACTCCAGCAGCGGCATGAGGTGCTCAAGGCAGAGAACCCTGGAGGTGGGTGCCAGGGCCACTGCCCAGCCTGTGGGGGGACGGGGAGGAGGCAATGGACCCACGGTCTGTGCTGAAGGGACAGCATGGGTCAGGCCTGGCAGGGGTAGGGGAGGCTGAGCCAGCCCTGGACGTCCCAGCTGGCGTCCTCGGCCCCTTCCCTGTGACTCATGCCAACTGACACCCAACTCCGATTTCCGTCCCGCAGACGCCTCTGACCTGCAGGGACGGCAGCTGCTGGCAGGCTTGGACAAGGTGGCCAGTGACTTAGACCGGCAGGAGAAGGCCATCACAGGGATCCTTCGGCCACCGCTGGAACAAGGCCGGGCTGTGCAGGACAGCGCCCAGCGGGCCAAAGACCTCAAGGTACCACCAGGCTGGGGCCCCTGCTCAAGCTCCCATCTCCACCAGCCATGTGTCACAAGAATTCCTGAGTCATGGGGGGCGGGGGCGGTGCTAGGCCGGGGATCAGGAGGTGCCTGAGCCTGGTGCCCTGCTTCAAACACGTCCGGGGAGAGGCCTGGGGAGGCCCGTCTCTGCGTGTTTGATGCCCGAGTAGCTCGGTGCCAGGTGGTCGGGTGGGAACAGCATCCACGCTCCTCTCTCTCACAGACGGTTTCCCTAGTCATCAGGCGCCCTCTGTGGCAGGGGTGACCGTGCTTGGTTTACAGAGGAACTGGGCTTGGAGAAGGGGCCTCACATCACGGCTGACAGAGGCTGTCAAGGCCGAGAGGATGCCCAGTAGAGGGTGGGAGCAGAGGCCAGGCCCCACGACGTTGCTTCCTAAGCTGCTTGGGTCCCCAGCTGTGAACAGGGAGAGAAAACGTGCCTCCCTCATGGGGTTGCCCCCAACAATGAATGAAATCACTAAATGTGGTGCTTGGAACAGTGAGTGCTGGGTAACTGCCTGTTCATTTCATTCCCTTGTGAGTCCCCTGCTTGGTCAGAATGCCCGGGGTGCTCAGTACACATGCAGACTCAGGCTCCCAGGCAGGGCCCAGGCCTCGCATCTCCATCAGAGCTGTCCCCCGCCCCCACCCCCGCGCCCCCCCCCCCCCCCCCCAAAAAATAAACTAAAAAACATAGAGATTCTCTGGTGTGCGCCTGGCAAGGTAGCTTCTTTAGTGGACACCCCGGAATTTTGTCCCACCAAACATGAATACAAACGCTGCGATTTCTCCCCATAGACCAGTAAAAAATATGAAGCTACACCCTGGGGACTGTTTTAGGTAGCGGCACGCCTTTTTGTGCTCGGAGAGATTGCTCCCTCAAAGATACAGACTCTTAACTTTAGGGTGGAAGTCTCATAGATATAGTATCTTGAGTAGAAGTGGCATTAACTGTATCCGTAAGTTAGCATAGCGTCTCTCCGCCTCAGGACGATATTGAAAAATTCGTTGTCAAACCCTCCGAGATACCCTCGCCCAAATACGAAATATGTCCCTAAATAGAGAAGGTTCCCCGGATCATAGTCCGAAATAGCACCCCTTCAAAAACAATTCAAACAGGAAAATAACTCGTACTGGTCGTGAGAAATCGGTTATTGGGGTAGACCTCATCTTAGAAAGCAAATGTGTCTACACTCGGCACTGTGATACTCTCAGTTTTTGCCCCCACTTCATCAGAGTTAATTTGCTCCTGTAATCTGGCACTAGCTTGAAAC